CCTTTTCAAAAAATTTTGGGGGTTTGGGGGGGAAAGGGGGGTTGGGTTGGTTTTCCTCTTTCCCCCCCCCTTTTTCCTTTCCCCTTCTTCCTCTCCCTTTCTTCCTTTGGGCCTTGGCTTTGGCTTCTTTGGCCCCTCTCCCCGGCTTCCTTTTCCCTCTTTCTCTTCCCCCCTCTTTTTCCTTTTCTTTTCCTCCTTCTTCTCTTTGCTCCCCCTTTTTTTTTCCCCCCTTTTCCTTCCCCCTCCCCCTGGGCCACGTGGGGCCGTGCCCGACCTGTCATTAAACCAATGAGCAAGTTTATTGAAATGATCATATGAAGTGTTTTAATCCTTGAAAGGAAAGGGTTAAGCGAATTATGGGTAAGAAAAAGGAAGGGCAAGAAAAATCCCAAAATGGTAAGGTTGAAAAAAGATAGGGCCCCAACAAAAAAGCCCAAATTTTAAGAAGTTAATAATTAAATTTGATTTAAAACAAGTCAATCGCATGTTTGGGTGCCCCGGGTCCTTTATAGTTCATTCTATTGGTTCCTACTACTTCCTCCTGTCTGTTCTTGTAGATTGTTCTTTCCTTTACTCTTTACTACTGTCTTTTTGTCTTAACCTCTTATTGAGGAGATATGAGGTAGAAGAAGGTCTCAACCAATCAACCAAGCAACCAATCAATCAAACCTATCAATTCATCAAACAAGCAACCATCTGATTGTGTTCATAACATTTACAGAAATGTTACTTGATGTTCATTGTCCTTGTCAAATAAATAAATAAATAACTACCCCATGGATCAGGACAAAGCCACTTAGTCAATGAACGGCTGCGTTTACACAGGATGCCCAATTCTGATCTTTTGCCCAATTACTGGCAATATGATTGGTCAAAAGACCAATTAGTGGAAAAAGATCAGAATTGGGCTGCCTGTGTAAACGCAGCCATACACACACAATCATACACAAGGATCCAGCACTGTAAAATATATAGACAACAAGAGCATCAACACAATACATTATCAGAACAGGATGTATCGACACAATACATGATCAGAACAGGATGTATCGACACAATACATTATCAGAACATGATGTATAGACACAATACATGATCAGAACATGATGTATAGACACAATACATGATCAGAACATGATGTATAGACACAATACATGATCAGAACAGGATGTATCGACACAATACATTATCAGAACAGGATGCATCAACACAATACATTATCAGAACAGGATGTATCGACACAATACATGATCAGAACAGGATGCATCGACACAATACATTATCAGAACAGGATGTATCGACACAATACATGATCAGAACATGATGTATAGACACAATACATTATCAGAACAGGATGTATCGACACAATACATGATCAGAACATGATGTATAGACACAATACATTATCAGAACAGGATGTATCGACACAATACATGATCAGAACAGGATGCATCGACACAATACATGATCAGAACAGGATGTATTGACACAATACATGATCAGAACAGGATGTATCCAAGCCGGTAGGATCATAAGGGCCCCTGTTATTTCGGGAGTCCCCTGAGAGAGACCACGTTGTTCTATCTGTCAGCAACATCAACCTTATTAAAAGCCCTCATCAACAAACAAACCTGGATTCGTCCCAAATGACACCCTGTTCCCTATACAGTGCACTACTTTTGAACAGGGCTCATAGGGCCGTAGGGGTCATATGGCTCCTGGTCAGAGGTAGTGCACTGTATAGGGAATAGGGTGTCATTTGGGACGAATCCCTCATTAAAAAGCCCACTGGTCTACTGTTAATCACATCCCAGCCAATGAATGGAGTTATCCAATCAGCCGCCAGACTGGAGACAGACCAGGCATGTGATTGGAGGAAAATCTAATGATCCTGGTTACTGATAATCTGTGGAAAAGGAGACAATGAGTTCATCCCAAATGGCACCCTATTCCCTATATAGTGCACTGTTTGACCAGAGCCCTGATAAAAAGTAGTGCACTATAGAAGGAATGCGGTGGCATTTGGAATGCGCAGTCAGACCATGTGATGTCTGCTGGACAACTGAATCAGACTCATTGTGTTTCTTCTCAGGGTCAGATATCAAGAGAGGAACATACTGTATATTCTCAGGACTCAGGTACGAGTCGTCTAGAAGAGGAATATATATTCTCAGGAATCAGATACGAGTCGTCTAGAAGAGAGCAACATATTCAGGACTCTAGAACAGGGTTTCCCAAACTCTATCCTGGGGCCCCCCCTGGGTGCACGTTTTGGTTTTTGCCCTTGGTTTCTGCACATTTTGGTTTTTTTTGGGCAAAAAACAAAACGTGCACCCAGGGGGGCCCCAGGACGGAGATTGGGAAACCCTGATGTAGAGAACAGTAACATATTCAGCCACTCTAGGAGAACAATGGAAGTCTGCTCCTCCACCACTGTAGAGTGCTCCTCCACCACTGTAGAGTGCTCCTCCGCCACTGTAGAGTCCTCCTCCACCACTGTAGAGTGCTCCTCCACCACTGTAGAGTCCTCCTCCACCACTGTAGAGTGCTCCTCCACCACTGTAGAGTGCCCACCACTGTAGAGTGCTCCTCCACCACTGTAGAGTGCTCCTCCACCACTGTAGAGTGCTCCTCCACCACTGTAGAGTGCTCCTCCACCACTGTAGAGTGCTCCTCCCCCACTGTAGCTGTAGAGTGCTCCTCCCCCACTGTAGAGTGCTCCTCCACCACTGTAGAGTGCTCCTCCACCACTGTAGAGTGCTCCTCCACCACTGTAGAGTGCTCCTCCACCACTGTAGAGTGCTCCTCCACCACTGTAGCTGTAGAGTGCTCCTCCCCCACTGTAGCTGTACAACTAGTGGAGTCTTGTGTGTGTGTGTGTGTGTGTGTGTGTGTGTGTGTGTGTGTGTGTGTGTGTGTGTGTGTGTGTGTGTGTGTGTTTGTGTTTGTGTTTGTGTTTGTGTGTGTGTGTGTGTGTGTCATACCTTTACCGAGGGCTGTGAGTTGAGGCCTAGGAATGTAAACACAGTGTTGTTCTCCTTGGACTGGAAGAAGTCCTCATAGTCCTGGTGGAACACACACAAACACATTTTCATTTATGGTATGAAAAAAATATTGCAATACTTCCCGAAACCCTTACCCCAAAAAAGCCTTTTTCCTTGTGGGGAAATGTCCGAATTTCCTTTATTTCACTGTCCTTGTGAGGAGTTCTGGTCACCACCCACACTAGTGATGCGTGTGTTGACTCATGACCCGCGGCTGAAGGGCGGGTTGAATAAAAATAAACAATACCTTTAAAAAAATCCATAAAGGTATAATTCTGGTGCAATTCATATCCATAGGCTACATTGAGGTTATTCTTGTTTATCTGACTGGACACGCGCCAAATAGCCTACACGGCCAATCGCCAGATAATGCTTTTGGGAACGGGCAGAAAACCTTAACGTCGATCCATGAAGGCATTGTGAGAGCATTGTCGAAGTTGAATTCAATAAAGACTAACGCTGCGAAAGGAGAGTTGGAAAAAAAAGAGGGAAGGCCAGAAAAGTAATGTTTGGGAAAGATTTGGTGAAGTGGTAAAAAAGGATGATAGCAGTGCAGGCTACGTTATGTGTGATGATTGTGAGGCGCTATACAAAATCGACAGTCACAAGATGGGGACTTCAAATAGGCCTTTAAGGAATGTCAAGGGAACTGTAGCCTACTGGTTAGAAGGGTTAAATGGAAACTGAAATCTGGTCTATAACCTCTCACATAGCCTTAATAATAACTCCTGCAGAATTAAGACTTTCTTGCAGTAAAATTATACACCAAATGTAGGCTAAATTTGGACTGGAGTGGAGAAATTTGATAGATTTTTTTTCTGCATCTTGAGAGAACGCAATGCTCAGTTAGATACCATCTGTAGAGGTGATGTCTTTATCATAAAAGCATCATAGAAGCTGATAGTATTTCAACCACACAAAATATCGAAGCCGACCTGAAATCTTATCAGAAACATGTTGGGTCATTTACACAGCTTTCTATTTCCTTACAACCGGTCAAACTGATGTCATTTGGACATTTTGCACTGAAAACATTTTGCACAGTCCCTAAACGTCTTTGCTCCGCAAAAGATGACAGGGAAAAAACTTTACAGATGTCAACTAGATTGAAGCATTCATTCTATCGATCTATTACATTTATTCTGGTGAGGAAGGGTTTATGGGCAACAAGTAATGGCAGACGAGAAGCTGCATGTATCTAATTATAGACAAGTTGACTAACAAATAGCCTACCAACATGTTTAAAATTATAACCAGAAACATATCGAAATCATGCCCCAAAAAAAATCCTGCAGCCCCTGTCAAAAAATTGTTCTGTAGTCTTTGACTGTAGCCTATAGAACATTTTCTATATTTGCGTGTTAGGGTCCGGTGCGGGCCTCAGATTTTCACATATAGTCGGCGGTTGCGGATGGGTTATTTTGCAATTGTGGGCGAACAAATAGCTGATGCACGCACACGATTTTTTTGGGATCCCCATTAGCCGACGCCAATGGCAACAGCTAGTCTCACTGGGGTCCGACACATAACAACAAATACATTACAGACAAAATACTTTACAATTGACATACATTTAAAAAAACATTAACATTGCTGTTCACTTGCGCTATATAAAATGGAAGGGAGTTCCATGCACTCACGGCTCTGTATAATACTGTACGTTTCCTTGAATTTGTTCTGGACCTGGGGAGACACACACACCTCCTCTGAGTCTAAAATGACAACAGACATTCCCCGTGGGCACTGGCCAAAGATAGTGCACTATAAAGGGGATAGGGGGGGAATAGGGTGCGATTTGGGACGCGGCCTTGATAATCTGCCCCATGGAGCAATGGGATTACGCGGCGCAGGGGTTACCCAGCAACATGCCGACTCAGCACAGCGCACAGGAGGGCTGACGTTAGCACCGCTAGGCAAGCTCTTTCACCAACTGACCATTCAGGCTACATGCTAACATTAGACCAACTAACAAAGGCTATATGCTAAATGCTAACATTAGATTAGCTAATAAAGGCTACAAAGTCCCGCGGGCATCCCTCGGGACCGACAGAGATCATAGCATGGTCAGCATTTTTCATGCTGCGGTTGGGAGCGGGCTGTCAGATCAGACAACTTCGGGATGAAAATGTTTTTGTTGTACCGCAGATTATTTTTTGAAACTGTCTTCATTCTACTTTGTACACATACAAGTAGAATGGGACCAGTTCTTGCGGTCGCGGGGAGTCGGACAGAAATACATCCATCCATCCATCCATCCTTCTATCTTACCCCACAGTAGCAGTCTCCGTTGAAGATCTGTGGGGGCAGCGGGTTGCCCTTGTCTGGGTGTTTCTCCGGGGGGATGTGTTGGTACATCCACAGCCTTCTGTCCTCCACATTGGTGATGTCCACCTCCTGAAAGGAGATCCGGTTGGCCTCCAAGAACCCCACCACAGCCTGCTGGCGCTTCTTTACCTGTAGGGTTGGGGAGAAAGAGACTTCTATCATCGAGTCAGGATACAGAATTTGGAAGGAAGTCACACGATGCACAAGAGAACCATACTGGAGAAGGTTAACGGTGAAACGTCTGTCACCTGTCCCCTTCTGTCATCTGTCCCCTTCTGTCATCTGTCCCCTGTGTCACCTGTCCCCTGTGTCACCTGTCCCCTGTCACCTGTCCCCTTCTGTCATCTGTCCCCTTCTGTCATCTGTCCCCTGTGTCACCTGTCCCCCTGTCACCTGTCCCCCCTGTCACCTGTCCCCCTGTCACCTGTCCCCCTGTCATCTGTCCCCTGTCCCCTGCCTGCCGCAAAGCAAACCAGACTCCCATATCGACAGACTAAACAAACAAACAAACAAACAAACACCTTCTGACTAAAGCCCTATTGGTTAATGTCACCTTCTGACTAAAGCCCTATTGGTTAATGTCACCTTCTGACTAAAGCCCTATTGGTTAATGTAACCTTCTGACTAAAGCCCTATTGGTTAATGTAACCTTCTGACTAAAGCCCTATTGGTTAATGTCACCTTCTGACTAAAGCCCTATTGGTTAATGTCACCTTCTGACTAAAGCCCTATTGGTTAATGTCACCTTCTGACTAAAGCCCTATTGGTTAATGTAACCTTCTGACTAAAGCCCTATTGGTTAATGTAACCTTCTGACTAAAGCCCTATTGGTTAATGTCACCTTCTGACTAAAGCCCTATTGGTTAATGTCACCTTCTGACTAAAGCCCTATTGGTTAATGTAACCTTCTGACTAAAGCCCTATTGGTTAATGTCACCTTCTGACTAAAGCCCTATTGGTTAATGTCACCTTCTGACTAAAGCCCTATTGGTTAATGTCACCTTTTTATAAAGTTGTTTTTGTGGCTTTACTCAAATTAGCCTCAATCAAATTGTACTCTTGTTTGCTAGATTGCAATCTGTTTAGTTTGAAGCTTGTTGGTAGAACATTTAAGTCATTTAGCACACTGGGTCAGACTGGGTCACACACACTGGGTCACACACACATTGGGTCACACTGGGTCACACACACTGGGTCACACACTGGGTCGCACACACACTGGGTCACACACACACTAGGTCACACTGGGCCACACACACACTGGGTCACAGCCAGGCCAGCTACTATGGGGTGGTCCGCTGTGCTTGGTTCTGTCCCTACAGATGTAATGAGAGGATAGTCTATGACAGGATATAACCTTGTGTGTGACTTTAGTAGGAAAAACATCCCAGTGAGGATGCACATAAACTCCCACACTTCTCTGTAGGTTATTAAAACACATACACTAACTGCTGACGGTGCTGCCATCCTGTGTCTTAGTCTGCTGACTGCTCCAGCTGGACCCAGTCACCATGAGAGAGGGGGGGGGAGAGAGAGAGAGAGGGGGGGGGGGGGGGGGGGGAGGGAGAGAGAGAGAGAGAGAGAGAGAGAGGAGAGGGGGGGGGGGGGGGGGGGGGGGGGGGGGGGGGGGAGAGAGAGAGAGGAGTACTTCAAACCAGCTGAAATAAACAGCAACAGCAGATTGGCATTTATGATAAGCGTCTACCAGTGCGATGTCAACAAATTACGCATTTAGCTTTCATAGGGTTATTGAATACTGGTGGTAGTCTAAATACAGTGAGGGTTAAAAGTATTTGATCCCCTGCTGATTTTGTACGTTTGCCCACTGACAAAGACAGGATCAGTCTATAATTTTAATGGTAGGTTTATTTGAACAGTGAGAGACAGAATAACAACAACAAAATCCAGAAAAACACATGTCAAAAATGTTATAAATTGATTTGCATTTTAATGAGGGAAATAAGTATTTGACCCCTCTGCAAAACATGACTTAGTACTTGGTGGCAAAACCCTTGTTGGCAATCACAGAGGTCAGACGTTTGTTGTAGTTGGCCACCAGGTTTGCACACATCTCAGGAGGGATTTTGTTCCACTCCTCTTTGCAGATCTTCTCCAAGTCATTAAGGTTTCGAGGCTGACGTTTGGCAACTCAAACCTTCAGCTAGCTCCACAGATTTTCTATGGGATCAAGGTCTGGAGACTGGCTAGGCCACTCCAGGACCTTAATGTGCTTCTTCTTGAGCCACTCCTTTGTTGCCTTGGCCGTGTGTTTTGGGTCATTGTCATGCTGGAATACCCACCCACGACCCATTTTCAATGCCCTGGCTGAGGGAAGGAGGTTCTCACCCAAGATTTGACGGTACATGGCCCCGTCCATCGTCCCTTTGATGCGGTGAAGTTGTCCTGTCCCCTTAGCAGAAACACCCCCCCCCCAAAGCATAATGTTTCCACCTCCATGTTTGACGGTGGGGATGGTGTTCTTGGGGTCATAGGCAGCATTCCTCCTCCTCCAAACACGGCGAGTTGAGTTGATGCCAAAGAGCTTGATTTTGGTCTCATCTGACCACAACACTTTCACCCAGTTCTCCTCTGAATCATTCAGATGTTCATTGGCAAACTTCAGACGGCCCTGTATATGTGCTTTCTTGAGCAGGGGGACCTTGCGGGCGCTGCAGGATTTCAGTCCTTCACGGCGTAGTGTGTTACCAATTGTTTTCTTGGTGACTATGGTCCCAGCTGCCTTGAGATCATTGACAAGATCCTCCCGTGTAGTTCTGGGCTGATTCCTCACCGTTCTCATGATCATTGCAACTCCACGAGATGAGATCTTGCATGGTGCCCCAGGCCGAGGGAGATTGACAGTTATTTTGTGTTTCTTCCATTTGCGAATAAATCGCACCAACTGTTGTCACCTTCTCGCCAAACTGCTTGGCGATGGTCTTGTAGCCCATTCCAGCCTTGTGTAGGTCTACAATCTTGTTCCTGACATCCTTGGAGAGCTCTTTGGTCTTGGCCATGGTGGAGAGTTTGGAATCTGATTGATTGATTGCTTCTGTGGACAGGTGTCTTTTATACAGGTAACAAACTGAGATTAGGAGCACTCCCTTTAAGAGTGTGCTCCTAATCTCAGCTCGTTACCTGTATAAAAGACACCTGGGAGCCAGAAATCTTTCTGATTGAGAGGGGGTCAAATACTTATTTCCCTCATTAAAATGCAAATCAATTTATAACATTTTTGACATGCGTTTTTCTGGATTATTTTGTTGTTATTCTGTCTCTCACTGTTCAAATAAACCTACCATTAAATTATAGACTGATAATTTCTTTGTCAGTGGGCAAACGTGCAAAATCAGCAGGAGATCAAATACTTTTTTCCCCTCACTGTATATAGCTGACTTCACAATGGGTTGCTTGTTCATGCTTTGTGTAATTCTGGGTTCTAGAACACAATGCATAAAGGGTTTATTAGAGTCCAAAACGTCTACACATACGTACGCACAGCAGTGTTCTAGAATACTGGACCGTCTACACATACTGTACGCACAGCAGTGTTCTAGAATACTGGACCGTCTACACATACTGTACGCACAGCAGTGTTCTAGAATACTGGACCGTCTACACATACTGTACGCACAGCAGTGTTCTAGAATACTGGACCGTCTACACATACGTACGCACAGCAGTATTCTAGAATACTGGACCGTCTACACATACTGTACGCACAGCAGTGTTCTAGAATACTGGACCGTCTACACATACTGTACGCACAGCAGTGTTCTAGAATACTGGACCGTCTACACATACTGTACGCACAGCAGTGTTCTAGAATACTGGACCGTCTACACATACTGTACGCACAGCAGTGTTCTAGAATACTGGACCGTCTACACATACTGTACGCACAGCAGTGTTCTAGAATACTGGACCGTTGGCTTTCATACTTTTCAAATTCTCAGCGCAGCTCAAGCGATTTCTCCAACTGTCAACCCATTCAAATGAATAGAGGATGCGTACCGGAGACGCGTTGGTTGGGAATTGTGGGGAGGTGCGCGTTCAGGCTGTGTGTCCCCCACAGATTGTTTACGTCATTTAACAGACGCTCTTATCCAGAGCCACTTACAAATTAGACGGTGCTCTCAGATCCTTGTAACCATGTCACAATGGGACACCAGACTATCGCGTCCCAAGTCTGTGGACTATGATTTACGCTTAACTGTCAAACTCTCTCCTCATAGCAGGCTAGTCTACTACGGTATGGCTCAACATGAACCACTGTCTAGTGCCTTACAAACTCATCTCTGCTGGGGGCCTATTGTGTATAGATACCATGACCGTGTGTGTGTGTGTGTGTGTGTGTGTGTGTGTGTGTGTGTGTGTGTGTGTGTGTGTGTGTGTGTTTGAGGGATGGTGAGGGCACAATGAAACCATTGTTTTGACGCAAAGACAAATGAGGCCAGGGCAATGTAAAGGAGATGAATGTAGAAGTACTGAACAATCATTAGACAGACAGACAGACAGACAGACAGACAGACAGACAGACAGACAGACAGGCAGGCAGACAGACAGACAGGCAGACAGACAGACAGGCAGACAGACAGACAGACAGGCAGACAGGCAGACAGGCAGACAGGCAGACAGACAGACAGACAGGCAGACAGGCAGACAGGCAACACACGGTGACGTAGTGTATTATTGTATGTGTAGTAGCACTGTGCTGTAGTTCAGAGATTAACAGAGATTAACAGAGGACTAATCCTCACACCACCAGTGTGGG